AAAAATAACACGATTGCCAGTTACAGAACCGATCTAGCCCGTCACATCAATCTCAATGGCAGGTGGCAAGTGGGACTGTCTGAAATCACTTACATGCACTTGTGGTTTAATTTACCGAACGATCGTGCGTTTGTTGAATGGCGACGAGTGAAAGAACCTAAGAAAATCAACAGAGCTCCGATTACTCCCGGATATTATAAAGCTATCCAAACACTTAGAATGGAATGTGAGACTGCTATGAGAAAGATTGATCCTGATTTCTATCTCATTCACAGATTCCCCGACCCCATTCTCAAATATCAGATCGGTGATGAAATAGAATTTAGATTTTTAGCGCCTCTGGCCTATCTGTTAGGTTTCAACGCGGGTGAGTGGTTGACGCCTGAAGGTACTTCCGGCCTCGATGAACCGATTGGCTGGACGTTTGGACGTTTGAGACATCATGTCATCCAAGATCACCAAGTGGTTTTGACCCAATGGAAATAAATCATCATCCTCGAATGAAAGCGGGATACCTTGAATGAATCTAATACTTTTATTACAAAGATCATCATACATAGGTTGATAAGATGTAAAAAACCACACGATGTTTTTTGGCATTTCAGTTAAACATGCATACAATTTTCTAAAATACTTTTTACAAAAAAGGTTTTTCCACAGCCTGACGGACCAGCAATTTGTACACTGAATGGAAATTTCAGTCTAGCGTCAAAATCAGTTTCCATTTTTAATACCCAAATGGTTCTGTACTGCCGTCAGCAAATAACCTCCGCTTATCAAAAATCACACGAAACCTTTTCACAAATGAAACATTCGAGAGAGTGAGGCCTTTTTTATCCCTCTTGACGATCTCCTGCCGAGTTTGCAAAAATCTTCCCCTTTCTCCAGCGACGTACCCCTCAACCAGCTGCGCCAAGCTGTCAAAATTGATGTGATCAGATGAAATGAATGACTGTGTGATACCCTTAGCCTTTATCACCACCTGCTGGCGGTCCCGGGTTTTGTAAGCATACGTTTTAGGACCAGCTGAAACAAATTCCATAATGGAATCGCCGTGCAGTTCATCGGTTAAATCCCCCAGCAGCGGTCCTGTTGGTAAAACACACTCATTCTCTTTGACAGAATAAATTATAGAATCTGTATCGTAATAAATGACGCGATTTCCCAGTTTGTTCAACGCATTTAATAATTTCAATCTGGCATAAGTTGTGGTGAAAGCGGCTATAAATATGTTGTTGCTTCTGCCAGGAGTCGTTAGGCATTTTTCTGTCAAACTGTGCTGCACCAGAATGGCTCCTGAAGTGACAAAGCTGAAGAATTTAACTTTGTATTTCCCTGAAAACAGAATGTCAAAAAATTCATCAGGTTTTTGAACAAATGTGGTTTGTACAAGATCATCTCTTTGGCCAAACTTTCCCCAGAGTGAATTGAGACATAATTTTGAAATGGCACGCTTAGCAGGATTGTGTTGAATCTTAGACTCATCTAATTGTATCCCCTGATGAAGTTGGTAGTCCTGAATGTATTTTCTTTTAGACTCATCGTCAATCAATCCTTCAGGAAAACCAGACGCTTGTTGTTTTTGTTTGAGAAACGTGTTAATGTGACCTGAAAACACGTCATGAATTTTGGGATGGCCTATGGGATAAGTCTGTGTGGCGTTTACATAAGGGTACAGACTCGTAAAATCCACATAGTGGATTTTTTCACCGCTCTGAGCCGAATGCCTCAGCCGAACCGGACAAGTTCTGCCTCCATACAGGGCTTCACGAGGTGAGAGAGGAGCTGGCGGGGGGTCAAATCTTGAGACAAACTGTTTCACGTCCGGATCAGTTTTTACCATCTCCTGCCAATCATGTTCCCAAATGACATTCATTTTTAATCGATGCACAGTTTCCAACGACTGAAGCTTTTCGACGGTTTTGTCATAAATTTCACCAAAAGTGATTTTTCTCAGAGGACATATGGATGACTGTAGGAAACATTTTGGAAAGCCGTGGAAAAAACAACCCATAAATTCAAACCCTTGTTCAACGCCTGAAATCACAGCATATCCGTCGAGATAAAAATCTCCCACTTTATACTCCCCCAAAGGCGTTAAAGCGTGTTGAATGTCTACATTTTGACTGCGTGAAACCCATTCCAGCCACACGATGCTTGAACTTGAAAATGGTTTTTGTTGCGGTCGATACCCGAGCGGACAAGGAATGGCCAATGTGTCTGGTTTTAGGAATTTTGATCTAAACACGCGCATGCAAGCTGAAGCGATCGTGACAGATTTCAGCGGGTCGATACCTGTTTCATTAAAAAACTCCTCTCTGAAAATACCGCATGCTTTACGCAGAATTTCCACATCGTTTCTACAATAAAACACGGCCTCCTTTCTGAAATCAAACAGCTGCTGTTTAGACACATCGGTGTACCATTCTAAAAATATTTTTTTATGCTCCGGAGACATTTGTTCAAACCCATAATGGCTGACATCTGGATAAGGCCCTTTATAATTCAGATGTTCAAGCGATGAAAATCTGTGAGGAAAATAACCTTTAGTTTTATCTGTAAAGCCCAAAGCAGCTGGAAGGTTGGCTAATTTCATCATGAGAAAACTTAAGGAATCTATGAATCTCAACCCGAAATCTGGATCGTGAAAACTCAGGATTTTACAGCTTTGCATGAGTATATTTTTGGGAACAATTTTTAATTGACACATAGCTCTCAAAATTATATAAGCATCAAATCCGCGCGCATTGTGTGCAACAAATGTATAATTGCTGAATTTAGGACGACGCATCTGCATAATAAAATCTTTAATGCAATCTAAACCAAAATTCTCCCAAACGTCGCCTGAATCGGATTTTGCACAGATTAAAAAAGGTGTATGCACACCGTTCTGATCCGTAAACGTTTCAGTGTCGTAATAAATAACCTTTTCCGTTAAACCGTCATCTTTTTTCCAAGCTGAATAAAACAGCGATGATCATCCGTGACCACCGACTGTTTGCAAACGATGCATTTGGTCGCTGAGCAAACGTGCTGTGAGCCATTTCCACCCATGGCGATGTAATAAGTTTGTTTACAAATGGTGCATTTTTTAAACATTTCGCAAGGAGAAACTGCCCTCTTTGCTTGAGGCCTGAAAACAGGTGTTTTGTGAGTTTGAAAACATATTACATTTTGGCATATTCGATTACAATCAGAACATGTGATGAGAGACATTTCTGTTCGTTTGCATAAATTGGTATTACACACGCGACAGAACCATTTACAATGATGTCCGTTCATGTTATTATAAGGGGAAAAGCACCATGAACAAAAATATTTGGCTCCTAAGAAACCTTTAATATTTTTTATGCCGTAATAATTTTGATTCAGTAGCAAAATGAACAACGGATTTGACCGATCGCTAAAATCTGTTTCAAATTTAGAAATGATTCTGTCGGATCTGTAAAAAATGATTATTTTTCTTTGAACAATATTTTCAAATCGAATCACGTCGCTAAATGAAACGGTTGATTGCTCCTGAAGCCCTGCCCGTTGATGAATATTTTTTGCCACATTCAATAATTCTGTATCTCTCGCTGAGGGATTTAACAGTCCGGCTATGCTTAGCGCAAAACACAACGGCTGATTGGCCTCTGGAGGGCAAATGAGATGGTTTCGTTTTTTATTGACTAATTCGTGATCCAGAATGGTTTCGATTTTTCGTTTTCCGCCGCCAGAAGGGTTATTTATCACCTGCAGTCTGAAATTAAATTCGTTGTCGGCCTCTAATGCTTCATTTGATTGGACTAACAGATCCAGTAAATACTGAAGCTGATTTAACATATTTGATCCGTCATAATTAAAATTAACGTGGTGCGTCGTGTGCAAAGTATTAATTTCAAACTGTACTCTATCATTGGGACGTGCGATCTGGCTTCCTCTTGCAGCAAACCTGCTTAATATTTCCATCAGATTAATATAAAACTCGGCTGGGTCGTTGATTGCTTGAAAAGACACTCTCTCTCTAATTTCACGCTGGTTAAAAGCTGCGTTTACGCTCCCTCCGATCTGCCGTTGTTCTATTTGTCTCAAAATTTCATCTACAGCTTGTGGAGATGGCTCATCTGAATTTGCTAGTATTTGATCAATCTCGTTTACGCGCTGCTGGTGTTCTATTTGTCTCAAAATTTCGTTTATTGCTTCTGATGAAGGCGGATCTGAATTTGCTAGAATTTGATCGACCTCGTTTGAAACGGCTTGGGATGCTAAAATATCGTCTAAAATCTCACTATCTGAAGCTAATTCATCTACTTCACTCAGTCCGCTTACATCAAACCAGTCAGTTAACACCAAATTATCAGAATTTAATAGAATTTCTTCGGCCTCCTCCTCTGAAGGATTTTGGCTGGCTAGAATTCTATCTAACAAATCTAAGTTTAATTCATCATCTACTTCAAACAAATCTGAAAGTTCATCAAACCAATTTTCACTCATGATACAAAAGACATTAAAAACCTACTAAAAATGAAGAAAAAAAATCTGCGTCGTCCTTTACAGAGCCAGAACTTGTTGCGTCACATCCACCAGGCCGGAGTTCACTTGCAGGAGCAGGTACCCAAGCTTCATCCTGTTTAATCTCTGAAGTGGCGTAAATCTGCCCCGCTTCTTCTTCTTCAACCGTTTTTCTGATGAAAAAATAAATAAAAATAAATAAAATGAACGAGCTTTTAATAAATTATATATATATATATATATAAATTTAACTTACTCTGTACAGGTGCAGGAGGTGGGGCGTTCTCTTCCTCTTCATCTGAAAGGATAAAAAACATAATCTTTTTTACTTCAAAATTTAATATACTCTGCGGGGCTTTTTGTGAAACAGCTTAGCGGCTGGCTGCTCAGGAGCACGTTCAGCGGTTTCAGAGTCGCTGTCGGATTGTTCTGAAAGAATAAAAACAAGGAAAAATATGAACGAATCATCTTTGAAGTAAATAACCACCTTTTTATATATATCCTACCCTGTGCAGGAGAAGGGGGAGGAGGAGGAGGAGGAGGTGGTGTGGGCGGAGATATTGAAGCGGCTGTCGGATGTTGTTCTGAAAGGATAAAAAACAACGGTAAATGTGAACGAGTCATCTTTGACTTATTAATCAGTTGTTTTTTATCGTTACCATCCGTCTGCGCATGAGAAGGGGGTGGAGGTGGTGGGGGCTGAGATATTGGGGGTGCGTAGGCCGTCGGCCGTTGCTCTGGAGAATAAAAACGATAAATATGAACGACACATCTTTGACTTATTAATCACTATTTTGTAATCACTTACCAGCTTCGAGGATCGTCTGTGGTGTGATGGTCCTGTAACGAACAGCTTTCGCGTGTGATCTGACGGTCTGGCTGGGCTGATTCGAATGTAAGACGGTTCGGCTGGTGGATGGAGGCGTGGTTGGGTAAAAGTTATCACTTCCGGGGTAAGGTTGAACCCCCTCCTTTTCTGTAAAATGAGATATTTCTCAGCTGAAGAAAAGAACGTTACGTATATATTTATAAATTCCACTCACTCAGATTGTCAACCGCACGGTTAATTTTAGACAAATCATCCAGGTGAAAAGGTACCGGAGTTTTACAAGTTAATTCCTCAATAGGAATTTCTTCCCACTCGCCGTCCGATATGACAATAGCGTCTGAAAATAAAGATGTTAAACCAGAAAGAGAAAAAAAGATTTGCGTCTTAAGTTAAAAACTTACCCGTCATCTTAGCTTGTTACACCTCAAATCACGACTCCGAAAATGCGTTTTACATTTTATACCGCTGTTTAAAAAAATCTTGAATAGAAAACGGTTGCGATTGGTCGAAAAAAAAATGTTTATAAACAATACAGAGTTATTTGCTTTGTTGTATAGGTAGACAAATGTCTGAATGGATGTTTAGAGTTGGTAACCCTGAGAGGGTCAGTCATTTTCTGAAAGGTGTGTGTGTGTGTGTGTGTGTGTGTGTGTGTGTGTGTGTGTGTGTGTGTGTGTGTGTGTGTGTGTGTGTGTGTGTGTGTGTGTGTGTGTGTGTGTGTGTGTGTGTGTGTGTGTTTAACTCGTATCCATTGCTTCTTCAAAACTCCCCGGAGCAGAAATAAAAAAACCTTTACGATCCAAAAAATAATACCGGACCGGTTTTGTACCGGACATTTCTTCCTGAAATCGCTTATGTTTCCTTAATAATGGATAAAATGTAGCTGCTCCTTCACTCGTGTGTAAATCCGTTTACGACATGCATGTGCCTTAGTTTAACTATTCTGAGAGGTAAGACATTAAAGTTTTGATAAAGAAGGTACGTCTGCTCCGAGACTACTAATCCACCCCTCCCAAAAAACAAACCTCATAAACAGCTTTTTATTTAATTCAGCTGTTATAGGTCCTACAAAAAGGATCAAATCTTTTCTCTGAGGCAGGAAGCAATGTGTGTGTGTGTGTGTGTGTGTGTGTGTGTGTGTGTGTGTGTGTGTGTGTGTGTGTGTGTGTGTGTGTGTGTGTGTGTGTGTGTGTGTGTGTGTGCTTACAGCCTCTGATGTGCTGCTGGACAGAGAGTTTTACACAATAGTTTTAGTTCTGGTCAAAAAGTGTCAGTGAGCTGCATGTAAATATTTACACATTTAAACACAAAGTTTAAGACTGAACATACGAAATCCAATGTGAACATCTGCCAGATGGCTGAGTAAATCAAAGAGAGTATTAATGACATAGACAATGTGTCACTCTGAAGAGTTTGTGTGTGTGTTTACAGCCTCTGATGTGCTGCTGGACAGAGAGTTTTACACAATAGTTTTAGTTCTGGTCAAAAAGTGTCAGTGAGCTGCATGTAAATATTTACACATTTAAACGCAAAGTTTAAGACTGAACATACAAAATCCAAATATCTAATATTTGGGAGAAAAGCACTTTGTGAACATCTGCCAGATGGCTGAGTCTCAAGAGCAAGCAAGCAGACCCACCCCATTCTACAGTCAGATTCTTTAACTTTGAGGAGACCTGCAACCATTTCATAAGTACTTGACCAGCGTGTGGGGCTGTCATTCACAGCAGTTAGGCCGCACTCATCCACTGTCAGTGAGCCATGTCATGTTTGATATAAAAAGTCCCACGAGGTTAGACTGATATGGTGTGCCAGTAAGGGCTGGTAAATGCATTATAATGGCTGCAGCGTCAGACTGATGTGGTTCTGCTCACTGGTGAGGCTGGCCTTCTTTTTCTTGCTTCTCTGCATTTGCAGTACAATTTAGATGACAAAACTTTCTGTGTGTTGAATTTAGGTGATGAACATATCTGAGAGGTTTGTGACAGCGGCGTATGGGAGGGGGCTGTGTGAACCACTGGGGTAACACAATAAGAAACTTCACGCGCCATTACACACATTAGCCTATGACGTGGGGGATCATGGACATCTGGACGCTCAACAATACGCCATTGATGATGCGGCGTGGGGGGTCTAGGCCATCTGGACGTTCAACAATACACATGTCCATTTGATTAATGATACGGAAGGGGGGGCATGGATTGAACAATACACCTGTCCATTTGATTAATGATAGGAAAGGGGGGCAAGGTCAAGGGTCAAAATGAACAATAGGACTGAAAGGTCAAAAAGGTCAAAGAACAATAGACCTGTCAAAATGTTTGACGAAAGGTATCTTATTATGTCTCTCTCATTTCACCTCTGCACACCCGACTCTATCTCCATCTCTAACTTGAAGTCAGAAGGCACGATCTCTCTCATCCTCCTAAAGGTCCTCCAGAGGGTACATTTTCTGCAACAACTAAAGATACTTGTTTCACCAAAGTGGCTGCCAGTCCAGTTTTACACAGAGGTGAGTGTGTTGATCTAGTATTTCTCCATTGTGTGGTTTGGTGCAGCCATCAAAGCGACAACCAGAATCAGCCGTCTTTAGAGACAGAATCATCTCTTCAAGACAACAAATTCATGCATACTATCCAATGCCTGTGGTTATTCTGTTTGCCACCAACAGGTAGAACTGAATTTGATGTGTGTATGCTACACAATATGCCAACAAAACATTCTGACTGAGTGATGCAAGACTGAACAATATGTTTCATTTCAATTCCAGAAATAAACATCAAAAGAAAAGAAATAATACATAAATAAACAAGAACTTTATGCACCAAAAATGCTTATTTTTTGCACAACCACTGCCTTCATTAATATGGCAATCTAGATCCTGTCAGGATGCCGAAACAAAATATGGATGTAGGAAGATCCACAAATAAAAATGTAATAACTGGATTTTTTAAATGGCCAGGTTTGTGGTGTTTTTTATATTTTAGACCAAAAGTGCCCAAGAAAGATTAGATAAAATGAGAGAATCTACATTTTGTGAGATATTTTATTTAGGATGCCTTTCTGTTCATTTCAAAACTGGGACAAATCATCACTGCAGTGCAGCAAACACACAACGTGGGTTTTTGCTCAAATGGTTTACCTCATGTGCTTCATTCCCATTCTGTTTCTTGTCTTTTTCTCAGTGCCATGTAGCTCATTTAAAGGTAGGATTCAGTCTCACCATCAACCAGGCGTTTCTTTTGCAAATAATAAATAAAATATATATTAAACAAACTTAAATGCATGGCTGCACGGTGGCCCAAGGTAGCACTGTTCAGTTGCAGCAAGAAGGAAATTCGCTGCTTGGAGTTAGCATGTTCCCCCCATAAGATACGATAATATAGGACTTTATTGATCCTAGTGGGGAAATTTGTGCATTACTGCAGCAAGTGTTTATTTATTTATTTTTAATCTATTTTCTATCAGAAACTAATGCAGGACTTAGCCTGCATGTTAAACTCAGAGTGACTGATCGTTTTGAAAAATGAGTAAAAAATGGTTTCTCAATGAACCTGCTCTTCAAAGCTTCTGCTGAAGTACGCATCGCTATGAAATCATCACGTAAAAGTGCAAATCATTTTAAAGGATTCAATCCAGATAAGATTAATCAAGTACCTGGCCTTCTCTGTTGCCTGGATGACCAGAAAACCTCCCATAATGACCATGCATGACTCATATTCCTGTAGTACACTGTTTTTATTATAGCTGCACTTCTGAGATCCCTGAGATAAAAATCAAAAGAAGAGGCTTTTAAGAATAGCTCCAAATTCCCACAGCAGGATGGCCTGATAAACAACCTGCAGACAAGATGAGGGAACTAAGGCAACACCAGCCATGTCCAGGCCTCTTTCATCATCAGTCCGATGCGTAAAGATTTTTAACATTCATTGCATTGGATGCAGCATCCAGTTAGGTTGTAGAGAGTTTATGTCTTGAGGAGATCTTGTAAAAATCTAAGATGCACCTATTTGTCCCAAACTTTTTCCCTGTCCTTACAGCTGGGGTTGGGACATCAAGGAAAAGAAACAGGGAAGTTGTAACTGTTTTATTACATAACTATCAAATATTACTGTGTAACAGTAACATCCATCCGTGTATCTCGCTGACAAATAAGATTCAGTCTCCCTAGCCAGGCATTTCTTTCACTGATAAAACTAAAATAAATAATCTAATGATCTCTGAATTGTGTGTACTGAAACTCTAATTTCCCTCTGGGATTAATAAAGTATCTCTGATTTGATTTGATTAATAAGGGCTGCATGATGGTAGTGAAGTTAGCATGTTCTCCCCATAAGACGAGATGAGACTTTATTGATCTGCAGCTGCTTGTCTGGGGCTGGACATTTTTGGCGTCTGCCGGCTCGCTCCTCGTGGCTGCCTGGTGGGATCCGGGTCCCTAGGCTTTGTCGGGTCTCCACCGAAGTTGGACACCCTTGGGTCCCGGGCCACTGAATTCTGAGCTTGGGTTGACCTGGAGTGGAGGAATGCGGGTGGGCCTGGGGGCTTGTCGTCATCATCACCTAAGCCTCTGGCGTGGCTGCTGGTTGGTCCAGAATTTGTTTTAGGCTATATCACTGGCTAATATAAGCTAATATAGATGATTGCTAGTATATCACAGATTACAGCAAATACTGATTCTTTTTATCTTTCTGTCAAAAGCTAAAATCAAAATAATGTTCTGGAACTGTTCTGGTTTGTGGATCCCTGCCATTTTTAGGGTGGTCATGCTGTTTCAAAGCAGCCTTCAGAAGTTTGTGACCTGGAGTGAGAGAATATAGTTTGACCTTCTGCACCTTCTGATGTAATGGAATTTCTTTCTGGTGTCATGCTGTCCCGAAGGAGCCCCAAAGCACTTAACCACTGATCATTTTAATCAATTAAGTGTTCCAGAACCAAGTGGATGACAGAGTTTTGACCTCACAGAGGAGCCTATCTTCAGAGATGTAGGTTAGACTCTTTTCCGAGGCAAAGAAAACTGTCCACTCATCAACTAATATCCTAAAAACATTACTTCTCCACCTCTATTGGTACTTGAAGACTGTAGTATTGTCAGGTGCCTATCGTGTATTGACGTGAGTCTGAGTTAGGACTTGGGCTTCCATTACGGAAATCATTCAGGCTGAGATTGAGGCTTTCCCTCGGGCCGTACTCACCACACACAAAGACCACAAGGGTGTAATAATTACAACCTTTTACTGCTCATTCCTGAAGTCAGCAATACCTCACCATGTGGGACGTAATGCTTTTAGCCTGTTTAGGTTATATGGTTTGCATCTGTCATGTCTTTGTTACTCACACAGGTCTCATCCAGCCTTTAAATGGAAACCCATTCATCATGAGAATGTGTGCTGCTCTTATTTAGTAAAATTCATCTATTTATACAGTTTTAGCTCATTTACATGGTCCATATGGACCCAGGTTCTAAACGTTTTTCCATCTGCTCAAGGAAGCGCTCCTCTAAAAAGCCCAGGACATTGATGTAAATGTTATTTTATTGTTTCAAGATGGCAGCATCGCACTTCACCCTCCTTGCCTGCTGGCGGTGGTCGGTTGGAGGGACTGGTGCCATCAGTGTTCATTACCACCAGTGTGTAAAATGTGTGTGTGCATTTATGACTGGTTGAGCTGAGCACATTGGGTCATTAAATTAAACTAAACAAAACACCTGAAATAAGTTCCCTCGTTAAGCCTAACCCCAGCTTTCCACTGGATGGGTAAGTGGCGAGTGGCGGTGCGTCCGGACATGCGGCTGCAGCGGAGAGAGAGGCGGGCGGGACAGCAGCAGCAGAACAGGAAGCCACAGCTGCTGCCAAAGACTAATCACAGTGACCTGTATTTATTGACAGGTCTCAGTGGACGTTGGCCCCTGAGCAAGGCACTGTCACTGACCCAGCCGAGTAGTGAAGCGACCAAAATAAATGAGCAGAAGTTAGAATCTGTGTGTGTGTGTTCTTTTGCATTTGACCCACAAAGTTAGCTGTTAGGACTACACAGCGCTTAAAATTGTACTATGAGCGCTTTCATATTTCCAAATCCTTTTCTTGAGCCATTATGTGCTAAAATGACCCTTTACAAGGTAATGAAATATCACTCAGAGCCCCACTGCCTCTTGTGGCCAGAATACCGCACTTGCAACTTCAGAGTGCTAATCCGGTCCCTGTTTGACATGGTAAAAGTAGAGCTGACATGCCTGCCGCTGGAGTCCGCTTCCAGCACGTTTTCTGCATGCTTTGGATCATAAAAAGTAGACTTGAAGCGTAAGTATAGCAGAGTCACTATGCTTCTGGGGCGTGACCGGTGACAACACACACCCCTACAGATGTCCCCATCTAATGGACATGCCCAGGTAGAGTGGATTTCTGCCGTTAAATCACTTTATGATTTTTTTTAACGATATCTTTATTTTTATTTGTCTGGACTAGAGCATTTCTGAATAAGATGAATTTTTCACACTAAATCATATCGTTCATGCGAGCTCTTTGGATCATAATCTAAAGTGATTGTTAGGATTCTAAAGATCTTAGTAATTAGAGTGAACATAAAAATCTTTTTCCATTTCTCCTTATTCACTTCAACCCCGGCTGATGGAAAACTGCTGAATAAATAATGTGTGATGTTTTAGATCTTGCCACACATGAAAGCTCGTGTAGCACTTGACAGTTGGACGGAAGCACCTAGCGACTGAATTGTCTTTCAGCGCTTCCACAAACACTCACAAGAGCTGCTGCAGCAACTTGATTTCCTTCTCTTGAGTTTTCCTTCCCACCCAACTCTCTCACTCTCTCACACACACACACACACACACACACCTTATGAGTGACAGACACACCTATCTGCCAACCACAAACACCTCTTGCTTTCGTGCTCTTGTTTTTGTTTCCATTATTTTTCTGTGATCGAGGTGCCCACACAGTTTCCATGACAACAATAAAAAAGACAAAGAAACTCTTTGACTTGGGCGTTGGCTAATGGGCGCCAAGACAGAGGCAATGGAAAAGAGAAGCAGAGCAACAATATCGACCCTCAAACACATCATGAGATCCATCGATGTACCTGGACTTTTACTCACATTAATAAAAAATGAGACACGAGCAGTTGTTGAGCATCTGATCACAGGAGAAAGCCTTTCCTTTGTTTCATTGACCTTTTGACCTCTACCCTGTGGTTTCATGTGTGTGTGTGTGTGTGCGTGCGTGCGTGTGTGTGTGTGTGTGTGTGTGTGTGTGTGTGTGTGTGTGTGTGTGTGTGTGTGTGTGTGTGTGTGTGTGTGTGTGTGTGTGTGTGTGTGTGTGTGTGTGGCCGTA